TTGTCATAACATTGTGACAAGTCTTTTTCATTTTTAATTTTAATATGTATTTATATATTATAAAATATATAATATGTATAACATATATGTATATTATAATGAGAGAATAGGGGCTGATGAAATGGCTCAGTGGTTAAGATCATTGGCTGTTCTTCCAGAGGACCCAGGTTAAATTCCCAGCATCCACATGGCAGCTCACAGCTGTCTGTAACTCCTCTTCCTGGGGATTTGACACCCTCACACAAATATACATGAAGGCCAAACATCAATGTAAATAAAATACAAATATAAAAAGAGAATATATATTTTTTTACTCTTTGTGTATGTCTTCCAGTTTTGTGTTTCTATAAATTTTCTGAGTTTGTGAACAAGTGGTTCTCTGCATGTATATCTGTTTTCTGTATCTTTTTTCGGGGGGGGGGCTCTTTTCCTTCTGATAAGTTGTTAGTTTTTCTTTTACATTATCTAGTTTTATTATCCCTTAGAAGCCTGCTTGTTTTCTAATAAGTGACAGAAAGGCGGTCTGTCTGAATAAGAGGGGAAGTAGGGAGGGTCTGGGAGGGCAGTGGGAAGCAAAACCATAATCAGGATATATTATATGAGGAAAAAAATCTTTTTTTTTTCCAGAGAGGGCACCAAATACAGTAAAATAACTACAACTGGTGACTCTAGATGAAAGGTATTTTAGTGTACTGAATTATTTCTACATCTCTCCTGCACAGCTGAAATTATTTCCAGTTAAGAAGACAAAGTCTCATCAGGAAACTTTTCTCTCAAACCTCCCTTGCCATTTCAGTTAAGAGCCTCAGATACAAGCTGGAGCTTCATCAATTCACTGTTGAATATCTACAACGTACAAAGCTCTATGCTAAGTGTTGGCTTCATTGAAAAGGGCAAGGTTGCAATTGAATTGAAAGTTGAATTCATGTTGAAGCATTGAGAGTTGGAGGGTTGCTCAGTGGTCAAGTGTACTTGCTACTCTTCCAAAGGACAGGGTTTCCATCCCTAGCAACAAAGTGGCAACTCTTAACCGTCTGCAACTCCAGTTCCACGGGATCAATGCTTACCACCGCAATGGAACAACCGGAACAAAAGTTCATCTTTTCTTTAAAAGCTAAAAAATATCTCACAGTGGGTTTTGGACATTGCAAAGCAGGAAGCACAAGACAGATTCCCCCACAAAAACACAGAGGAATGGTGAGGTTTCCACCACACAGCACAGGAAAGAGGAAGTCAGGAAAGCTTGGCAACCTCCCTGAATTGAGCAGAGTTCAGAGTATAAAGATAACAAAGTGGTAGAAGTCAGGGCACAGAATACCAGAGAGACAAACTGGAACAAGAGACCAGTCAAGAGTGTCTTTGGGTCTTTAGCTAAATTGTAGTTAGCATGTGGTTGTGCGCAGAATATTAAGGCTAGAAATGAAACCATGAAAGGAGCCATTGGAGCCTCCCAGGTATACAGGAACTGCATGTTCCCGTGGTCCAGAGAAGAAAGCCTTCCTCACACATGAGCAGAGCCCTCAAGAGAAGGAACCAGTCATGTCAAATAATCGTTAACCTAAAAGATGGTTTCAACCACAAAACTGGTGAGGAAGTTTCACAAACCAAATAATTAGGTCCAAGAAACTCAACAATCATTCAAGTACAAAGACTAAGCAAATTAAAATCATACGAACATATGAAAAATCCCCAAAACTGATGCTATGTCTGTGGGGAATTTTCTAATTGATGTGAGAGGTCCCAGTCTCCTGTGGGGGACGCTGGTCTGGGCTGTGAGAAAGGTAGCTGAGCAAGCAAGGAAAAGGAAGCCAGAAAGCTGACTTCTGTGGTTTGCTTCAGTTCTTGTCCTGACTTCCCTCATCGATGGACTGGTACTTCAAAGTGTAAGCTAAATTAAACCTCTTCCTCCTCAAATTGGTTTGGTCAGTGTTTTATCACAGCAACAGAGATGTGAACTAAGGAGTCCAGGCATACACTCATGAGCGGTACCGATGAATCGTATTAGTCTTCTGTTGTTAGCTTTTTTGTGGAACCTCCATAATAATTTCCATAGTGGCTACAGCAGTTTTACCCCTATCACAGAGTTGGATTCATCCTCTGCCATGTCTTTACTGTGTGGTTCAGTAAAAGCTGTCCTCTAGCGGCTCCTGTGTTTGAACACTTGATCCCTGGTTGGCAGCACTGCTTGGGGAGGTTATGCTGGAGGAAGCGCATCATTGGTAGGTAGCTCATGTTTTAGTTTTGCGCCACTTCTAGTTTGTTTCCTCTGTCTGTACTTGTTTGCAGTTGAGATCTGTTTCCTGCTCCTGCTTCTGTGCCTGCCTCTTGTGAGGAACTCTAAACCGAAATAAATGCTTTCACTTATAAGTTACTTTGGTTATGGTATTTTACCACAACAACAGAAAAATTAACTGATATACTTGCTAACAGGGTTTCTCGTGTGTGTGTGTGTGTGTGTGTGTGTGTGTGTGTGTTTGATGGGCTGTGATATGGAAGGAAAAAGAATTTAAGACTATGCTAATTAGGCACAAATTACTGAATTCAATAAAGCAAAGGAGAGCAGGTTTAGGAGAAATAATAATTGCAACTGAGAACTTTACTTTGGAGTACTTTGGACACCTAGGTGAAGTTACTTAGGATCAAAGATGAACTTGGGAGAGGGGTCTGACCTTGAGATGCAGCTTGGGGGAGAGGTCTAGACTTGAGACAGAGATTTGGAAGAATCAGCTCAGAGCAGGTTAAACCATGGACCTGGATGAGATAATCAAGGACATGTATTTATATCATTTCAATTTATTTTTATTGATCTTCCAATTTTCCTTGGAAGCCTATTCAAGTTGGTTGCCTTTTGGACCCCCACCTGGCTGTGTCTAATATTAATAGCTTCTCAAATTTCTCAAATATTATGTTCTCTGTCTCCACACACACACACACACACACACACACACACACACACACACACACACACACACACACACAGCACTTAAATTATCCATGCTTTCCCAAGGTTCAGGAGAGGTGCTCCCAGTTGACTTCACTTCACTGTATTGATGTTTGTGTTCTACAATCCTGCTACACTTGTCTGTGGGTTTCGGTAGGGTTTTTTGTTTGTTTGTTTCAATGGACTTCCCAAATGAATAGTAATGTCATCTATAAGGAAAGGCAATCTTACCTCTTCAGTCTACACATCTTTCATTTCTTTTTTAGCCAGACTGTGGCAGCCAGAATCTTCAACACAAAGCCGAATGAAAATATTGCTGGGCCTACTGAGACTTGCATTTTATTGTTTGGCTCTTTTATGCATAGTACTAGGATGCTAGGAAAGCCCTCTGACAGAGAACGAAGCTCCCAGCTCAGTTCTTTAAAATGCTAAAGCATCGGCTGATTCTCAAGTGTAATCTGTTCTTGTAATTGTGGGACAAATGCTACTTGAATGTATTATTAACCAATAGATTTTATTTTAGCACAGTTTAAAAGTTATAGAATTTTAAGTAGATGGTAGACACAAACCTATAAATTCATCTCACCCCACATTCCCACTTTCCCTATTTTTAAGATCTTGCTTTAGTGATACATTTGTTACATTAATAAACAAATATTAATGTATTATTTTTAGCTAATCTACAGATTATATTGAGGTTCACTGTGCTAGCAAGTTCTCTAGATTTTGACAAATATACAATAGCTTCAGCATTACAGTTTCATACATAATAGCTCTAGTTTCTTCAGAATCCCCTGTAGTTTCCCATTTGTTCTAAAATGGCTGGTAGAGAAAGGAGATGATGATCAGTCTGGGCCTTAGGTTCAGCTGCAATGACAGGAACTATAGCTTGTCTCACTAATCTTGGGTAGTCTTTTAAGAGTATGGCTTGATACCCTCTTCAAAGCCTTGGAGACTAGAGTAGACAGAACTCAGACAGTTCCAGGCAGTCTAGGGCACACAGTGTCAAACATGTGTTTTCTGCTCTGTACATCTCATTGCTCATTTCTACTGGTTCCTCTCACATCTGGAGCAGACAGTTCTGAGCTCATATTTACCCATGACAACACTTACCCAGGTCTTTTATCCTGTTACAGTCTCAGGATCATCTTCACGAATTGGGAAGCTTGTTTCCCATAGCAAAGCATGCTCTAGAAGCGGAGCAGCTACTGTCCCTGCAAAGCCACTTTCTTCCTGGTGGGCTACAGAAGCAGCCTAAGGATTTCAGCTCTGTCTAGTGGACGGCTGTGGGAGGGGCTTTCAGCAGCCCTGCAGCTCTTCAGGAGTTCAAACCTAAGCTGGCAGTCTGTACAGTATTTCACACTGGTTTTCTCCCTCTTGCTCTTCCTGTTCTCCCAATTACATGTCCTTGGATAATTTCACAAATGACCTACATAGACCCAAGACCTTTTCTCGGGCTCTACTTTCAGGGAACCTAAACTAAGAACACTATTAATCAAATGCTTTTGTATATCTTTCCACTTAAGGACTTTAGAAGCTTTTCTAGGCTATGGTTAAGTAACCACTTATGAAGTCTTACTTGCAGGGTGACGGGAGAACATTTTTACTTTAGAAATGTAATGTTTTGTTAAGGCAGTAAAGGAGTGCATGGCAGTGACAACTGCTCTTCCTGAAGCATACAGCAATTACCTCTAATGCTTCCATTTGGTAACAGATACAATTAAACACCTGGCTTTGATAATATATAACCTATTGGCCAAGCCATAAAAAGATGTATGTGTTTTTAAATACCTCAGTGAACTCTATAACAGGCATGTGTAAGTTATGAACCATGACAGAGAATCTTAGTCTAGTGTTACTTTCCGCCAGAACGTTCTTCAAAAAACTTATAAAACAAATGTGTGCAATGATCTTCAAACTAACATATTCACTAAATTGAACAGTTAGTCACATTCTCTTATTTTTACATAAAGTCTACTTTGATCAATAAGCTCAAACTAACTCATTTTAGATGTTCACAGAGTCCATCCTAGTGTCACTCACAGCAATTTCGGTCATCTATTTTTAATCTCAGAGGATTTTATTTGGTTAACAAAGGTTTATTTAATTTCATTTTTTGGACAGAGGAAGGCTGGGGCAGGTGTGTGGTTGCCAGCTGATGATTTCGTCCCTAAAGCCAGAGTCTCGCGCTCCCACAGGATGTAAAATACACACATCTATGCAATGCTCATCCTAATCCAACTCAGTCACTGAAGGAAGACTCACTATCGGAGCTTTCTTCTGTGGCCTTGTCACATGCACCATTAGGCACTGGAGCGTCTGGCTTCCTGAAAAGAAAAAAAAAAAAGAGAAAAATTTAAAGGTTGTTCTAACTGAAAGCAAGCACTTACAAACTGTAAGTTAGGTTCGTCTTGGTGTACTGTGGCTAATAAATCTGCCAGGTTTGTGTTCCTTGCAGGAACCTTCAGCACTGAACCCCAGTGTGCTGCCTCTGACTTTTGCCCACTCATGGGGATCAAGTGCTACTTGAGCCCCAGCATTCCCTGCATCTCATTACCATGGAGACTGCCACAGACAGAGATGTGATGTGTATAGGCTGGCATGACCAGTGTTAAGTCCCTGCTGCCTCAAGTGCACACTGGGGCACAGACGGGGAAGTTAGGAATGGAAAGAAATGAAAGCTGTGGAAACTCAGAAGCAGAAAGGAGTTCACGAATAGCTAAGAAGCATAGGCAATGTGGAAATTCTGTGGGGGAGGAGGGCATGGTCTCTAAAGAAGAGTTTTTTGTTGTTGTTTTGTTTTTCCTCTAGAGAATGAATATAAAAAGGATGAGATGGTTTAAGAAATACCATCTCAAAGACAGCACAACAGGAAATACCCCAACTTTGTATGAGTGTGCTATACTAAACAAAAAATGAAAACTTGATAGGGCTATTACAAGTCACTTTGAGGGGTTGGACAGATGGCTCATTTGGTAAAGCATTTGTCTTGCAAGCATTAGGACCTGAGTTTGGATCTCCCAAAACCATGCAAAAAGCCAGAAATGGTGACACATTGTTGTGAGAGGGAGGTGAAGACAGGTGAATTCTTGCAGCTTTCTGGTCAGTTAGTCTAACCTGCTTGGTGAAGTTCCAGGGCAATGAGAGCCTTTGTCTCAAACAAAAGGAGGAACGACACATATACTGTCCTCTGACCTCCAGTGGATAAGCATGTGTGCATGTACACCCATACGTGCTCCACACACAGAAACATGTACCCCCACATGCCCACATCCCCCCAAGACAGTTGTTTCCAATGGGCATCAGTAGTGTTTGTGCCAGGAAATCCTACTCAACACTGATGCACTATACTTAGCTTCTATTCACTTTTATCAGAAAGCAAATTCAACAAGAAAGGATACAATTGGAGAAACCAAGAGAGAAAAGGAAGAATAATGAGATTGCTATGTGTTCCTAATTTAAATGACCAGATTTATTCCTGACTCGGGTCCCTTGGTTATTATTAACTGAGTAGAAATTATCACTAAAATGAGGGAATATATAGTCTACTTGCTACTTTTATGGCTAAAATGTGGCACTACTTCTACTTGTCAAATATAAACAAATGTACTCTGCGGAGCAATTTTAGACTATGTCTTTAAGGTAGTCACATGTACCCAAAAAAGGAAAGCCCTGAAGGTTTGAAGCAGCATTTCCAGGCTTGACTGATGGATGCTATGTCTGCCTAAAATACCAATGCAGGCCCATCAGCTTCAGCAGCCTTCACAGTCGCAACGGCCCTAGAAGCAGGAGGTACAACACAGAGCCCGTTCTTCCCATTAAGTTTCTCTCTGCTAATACTTAATGTCTCCGTTGTTTTGTTTTGTTTTTTTTCTGAGACAGGGTCTTACCATGTAGCTCTGAAACTCACTATGTAGACTAGGCTGGCCTCAAACTCATAGATATCTGCCTGCCTCTGTCTCCCAGGTGCTGGGATTAAAGGAGACCATCAGCACATCCGCCTTCCATTTTTGTTTATTTTAAAGGACAAAATTACTTGGAATAGGCTCCCAAAGATCATTCATACACCATGGTAAACACTGATCTACTACCCAAGGTCCCAGTGATTTCTGTGGCCTCCTCACTGACACTACATTCATAGAGTCTGGATGGCCTCTCAGCCATCAGCCTGGACACATGGGGAAGGGCCTAGGTCCTGCCCAGGATGAAATGACAGACTCTGGAAGGGCCTCACCCTCCCTAGGGAATGATGTGGGAATTGGGTGGGGGGCTGGGGGCACTGGTGGAAGGACAAGGGAGGAGGTGTGGGAGAGGGAGCTGGGATTGACATGTGAAACATTCATGTTTCTAATTTAAATAAAAACATATATTGAGGGAAAAATGATATGAAATAAAGAAACAAATAATGGCATGACAAAGGAAGTAATAAATCCATTGCAATGCAAAATTCTAAAAAAAAGGACAAATTATTTCAATACTACATCGAAATTATATTAGTGCCTTTGACAACTCAAGCAAACAAAGGAATGTACATATTTATCTAAAACAAATGCTATTTATAAGAAACAGTTGGCTGGGTAGGGTGATACATGCCTATAATCTTAGTATTTGGGAGGATGAAACAGGAGGATTGCTGTGAGGTTATGGTCACCCTGGCCTTCCCAGCAAGATCTTGTGTCAAAAAACCAAAACAGATTTAAAAAAGTTAAAAGGTAGCCAGGCGTTGGTGGCACATGCCTTTAATCCCAGCACTCAGGAGGCAGAGGCAGACGGATCTCTGTGAGTTTCAGGCCAGCCTGGTCTACAGTGAGTTGCAGGACAGCTAAGAGCTACACAGAGAAACCCTGTCTCAAAAAACCAAAACCAAAACAAACAAAACTGAAAAAAACAAAGTTAAATAGAGTTAAGTCTAGAAAGGAGCAAAACTTAATAAAATGTAGTGTGTAACGTGATCATTTAAATAATATTAATTCTTCTGAGCCACAAACATAAGAGGTCATCCCATCGTCTTGACCTTCTACAATTGTTGTCTCTGGTGATTTGTAGTTTTCATTGTCATCAACATCTTTGGGAATAGTTATGCTTAGGTTTCTTTTGAGGCTATTGTAAATGGGGTTGATTTCTTAGCTGGTTCTTTTCATTGTGTTTTTTGTGAGTGGAAAAAAACAAACCTTTATCCACCAGCGGGTACTCTGCATTTCTATCCCCTCAGCTCCTGGCAACCAACACATGCATTCTGTAACCAGCTACTTTGCTGAAAGTGAAGAAGAGTCTTCTAGTGGGAGTCTTTTGGGTCTTTAAACTGTAAGATCATCTCATCCATAAACAGATGGTGACCTGACTTCTTCCTTTCCTACTTGTAGCTATTTATTCCTCTGTGTGAGGGGGGTGGGGGATGGGCAAGCTTATTTATTGCTGGTAGGAATATCTATTCACAGGGAAAATCTGTATGGAAGTTTCTCAAAAACAGACAAATACAATTTCCATATGATGCATACATACCACTTTTGAGTACATGACCAAAAGAACAAAAATCAGCTACCCATTGCAATACCTGTACTTGCATGTTTATTACTATACTACTGACAACAGCCAAGTCATAGAGTCAGCCTAGGTGTTCCATCAGTGGACTGATAAATAAAATGTGGTATATACACATAATGGAATTTTAGCAACAATGAAGGAAGAGATTATGTCATCTGCAAGGAACTAGAGACCATCATGTTAAGTGAAATAAGCCAGCCCCCCAAAGAGTATCATATTTTCTCATCTGTAAATATATGAAAATAAATCATGGACATTAGCAAAGAAAGGAAAACAGAATAAGAGAGAGCAATAGGGTGTGAGTGATGGAAATACATCAATTTCTACAAATAGCATATGTTAAAAAGGAAAAATGCTGAGTGCAGCCATCCATGGATCCACATGCTGCTACACTGTACAGCGGCTGGGGACACAAACTCTAGGACCATGCCGTCCCAATGTCAGCCTGACACTTCCATGTCAAGCAACGTGGCAGAGATTAGCACTCTGTGCCCAGATATCTGACAGGAGTAACACGATGACAACATTAATAACTGTAAAGTATTGAACAGCACCTGGTTCACAGTACGCACTAATGAATGTCACTTGTATTATGTGAGCCTCAGCATCACACACCTATATGCAAGGATCTAAGTTCCTTCAGGGCTAACGTGAAAACCCCTGGGCTCTTGCCCTGAAGTAGCTGCTTTCCCCCCACCTCTGGTAATTGATAATGTGCTCCTTTTTTCTGAAGATCTGCCTGTTCAGGACATCTCACATAAATGAGATCGTAGGATGCCCATCCACTGTGCCTGGGTTCTTTCAACTAGCATGGTATATTAAAAGTTTATCCGTGTTGCAGCATTACTGCATGTCATTATTTTTCCTGGTGAATAGTATTCTATTGTACACATACACCACATTTTGCTTATCCATCATCTAATGGAAGACATCAAGGTTGTTTTACTACTTTGTACACCGTGAATATCTGTGTACAAATTTTTCAATGAATACATGTTTCTGGGGCATATGGAAATTGTGCACCTTAAGGGATTTCACTATGTGTATTTCTTGTGCATGGCACTATGTCACAGAAGGACATCTCACACAAGTATAGACTGCATGTTGAGTACAGTCTCCCACCCTTGTCAGTTTTGTTCCCCTTGATGGCTCTGCTTCTATTTTCATGCCATATACACACGTATGATTGATTACATGTATCTATATATAGCCCAGGAACTATAACTAAGAGACAATATATTCATCTTTGTTATTGCTAAGACAAGGTTTCTCTGTGTAACAGTTCTGGCTGTGTTGGAACTCACTCTGTAGACCAGGCTGGCCTTGAACTCACAGAGATCCACCTGCCTCTGCCTCCCGAGTGCTGGGATTAAAGGTGTGCACTACCACTGCCCGGCCATATTTATCTTTTTAAGAAAGGAATTCATATTTAATTAAGGACTGAGTGTGGGCTTGTGTGCCTACAGAGGCCGGGGGAGGGTATCAGACCTCTTGGAGCTGGGATTACAGGCAGTTGTTCGTTGCTCAGTTTTGTTTTGCTTTGTTTTGGAGTTTTTGCAGATTGTAGATGTTAGTCTTCCATGAAATGTGCAGTTAGCAAAGATCTTCTCCCATTCTGTAAGCTGTCTATTCACTGGGTTACTGTCTCCTTTGCCTATAGAGCTCCATATTCCTATTCAGAAAGCCCCTGCCCTAAAGTGATTTCCTCTAAATATTTTAGAATTCTGGGTCTTACATTAAGCCCTTTTATCCATTTGGAACACACACACACGCACACACACGC